TCGAATTAAGTATTGTTTTCGTGACTACCAGTAAATCAGTAATATGAGATGTATTCATCCAATTTCGTTTTAGGTGAGGAACGACGGGTAGAAGAAGAATTCTCCCACAATGATATGAGTTGAGCTGACGTTTCCATTGACAAAATGAGTAATGTCTAAAATCTTCGAATAAGCATTAGCATTTTTGGAATGTCTAATTCCTAACTTCAAGCTCGACTTTGCAAAGTTTTAGTTAGCCAGTCAAAAAGGTCAAGGTATCTGAGAGCGCACTTGAGTGCCTCCAAAAGGAGCCTATTTAACAAGCAAACATTACAGTTTTGAAGAGGTAAAAAATATTTAGATTTGGGCTAAATACACAAATTTACTCGCTAGGTTGAATAAATTGCTATAATGATAGCTCGCTATGATGGTGTTTGCCATATGAAAAACAAAAGTTTACACATTCTCCCTGGAATCGAAGGAGATTGCCTCGGTGACAGGAAAAATTGAATTTTCCAGTAAAAAAACTTGCAGGTGAAATGCGCCAACCTCTTCTTGTGGGATTGGTCTAATCTACTCACTACACACTTGCACTTGAAATGGAAGGCAGCCCCAACGCTGGTAAACCTAGAAATTCCTCGAAATCCAACGATTATTCGCATAAATAAACATGGGAAAATGGATTGCCCAAAAGATAAGCAGAGTAGTAAGTAAACTTCAAAAGACAAATAAGGGGTAAATCGGGAGGTCAGTAAACAAGTGGACAGTATTCAATTACCTGGCTGTTGATCAGCTCGACTTGCCATTTTCGCTGCAGAACTTTACTTGCGGCACAGATTGCCAAGCCTTGGAGCTGACCGATCACATCTGTCTGTTTCGGCTCCTACAAAAGGCAGATCAAGGATTAGCATACCTTTACTCAGATGCGCATAGTTCAGCTGAAGAGCAAGTTATTAAGAAAGGAAGAAGAGAGCAGACAAGGCAAAAAGAAGAATCACCAGAAAAAACGTCATGTAGCGTGAAAACGTAGTTTACCCGACTGAGTAGGTCTTGCAACTGAATCCGGATCATTTTAGGTAGCCTTAAGTAATGGAAACGCTGATCGGTGAAACGCACGCTATAGAATCATCGAAAGGCCTTACCATTTCTTTGGTTTACATCCGCCCTGTGAGCCCAAAGTCCAAGTGGCAGTGTGGCGTAGTTATTAATGTGTCGAGAATGTATGCTGAACTACCAAAATCCGGATTCGAGTCCGACTAGAGGTGCAGATGAAGCTGCAGCCGATACCTGTTTGGATGGGAATACCCTTTGGGAGAACAAGACAAAGAAACGCAAGGTCTACTCATCTGATCGTGGACAAATTCTAACACCACCCCCTTACCACCTGAAACGAAATAGAGTGAATACATCCCATAGATATGATATGCTAGTAGACTCGAAAACAAGTCACTTATAAACGGAGAATATTCAACCTAACGCAATGGGG